AAAAAAAAAAAAACACTAACATCTTCATCGAAGCTTCTCTATGATCTACACCTCACTTTCTAAAACAATTGAGAGTACAACATTTAAAAAATAAGAATAAAAAATAACAAACTAAATCACAAGGAATACTCAAAATGAATTATAACTTGTATAATTATAATTAAGCTCATCAAAGAGCCCACATGCAATCTGCATGTGGTTTACCAACTTGTGCACTGATTCCAAAGGAAAAAAAAAATAAAAAAAAAAACAATTAATTAATTAATTTCCTGCATGAATGCATGCACCTTAGTTCATCTTACTCCATCCTTGATTACTTTATCCATTTGCTTCCTTGTATTAATCAATCCCAATCACCCAATTTTCAATTCTTGATCTGCCAAACAAGGCTTTATAGTTTATACTCCAAGAAGCACATAGTATAAAATTGTGATGGGCAAGGCAATCAACATTCCGAAAATAACCCTGCACTCAATAAACACAAATGTTAAAGAGTCACAAAACTTGAAATTTTGATCATTTGTTTGAAAAGTGCAAATCTTACGCAGTGCTAAGTATGTCTGGATGCACATTGTACTCTTTTGCAAACACAAAGGGTACAATCCCCTGTGGAAGGGCAGCCTGCACCCCAAACAGAAAATATGACCAATAATGATGATTATCCATGTTAATTAAGATTATGATTTCAAATCAAGAAAATTGAACCTGAACGATCGCGACGTGCAGAAGAATTCCTCGGAGGCCGATGGCAATGGAAGTTGCGGCAATGACGGCTGGGCCGGTTAAGAACCTTACGGCCATTGAAAATGTGGCGACCGATTTTCCACAAGCAATGATCTTTGGTTGCAAAGCCATGAACAAACCTATAAGGAACAAAATTAGAGGTAATTAACAATGGTTAGGAAGTAGATTTTAAAGAAAAAATCGACATGTTGAGAGAAAGGTACCAAGGCTAAACATGGCCATGCCGAGGCCTGCATCGGACAAAATCGATATCGAACCTTTCACTATTGAGGGCATTTGAATATTCCACCTGAAAAAGAAAAATAAATTGATCAAAAAAATATTAGAAATAGTAAATACATATAAAAAAAACAGGGGAAAACAGAGAAGGAAAAATGAATCTAACCTGAATGAGATGAGAGACCAAATAAGTCCAAACAGACTGGAATAAGTGTTGGGGTTTCTGATAAGCTTCCTCCACACCATGATGAGTATGAGCCTCGTCATCACGCTCGCCGGGGGCATTTGCGTCTTTTTTTCTCCGTCCTCCTCGTCATCAAACTTCTTCGGACACGAATATGGCGACGCGCTCGTCGGAAACTTTGGCGCCTCCTCAATCTCAATCTCCTTGTGCTCCCCACTCCCATTTTCTACCAACAGACCAAAAAATAATAATAATAATAATAATAAAAATTAATTATGAACCAAAAAGATATCACATCAAAAAAGAAAAGAAAAGAAAAACCTTTAGTCGGCAGCGGCGGGGGCACCGCCGCCACAAGATCCTGTTGGAAATCCCCCGCCGCCTTGTTCACGGCGTTCCTCATGTTGGCCTCCGACACCGGTGACGCGCTCGAGCTCCACACGAACATGTGCAGCTCCTTATTGTTCCCTCCGTCCTTCCTCCGGTTGGTCCCGCCGGAGAACGCCGGGTTCGGCGGTGGGTACAACGGCGGCGGGAAAAGCTCCCCGCTCATGCTCCGGTTCCCGGCCGCCGCCTTCCTCCTGTTCCCACCTGCGGCGGCGGCAGCCGCTGCTGCCTCGTCAAAGTTCGACGTGCGCGGAGTCGCCCCCTTCGACGACTGCACCGAGAACACATTCTCCATCCCTCCTCCTCCGCCGAAGCTACT